CAACACCCCAGAAACAGTGAGTAGAAACGAATTTTATTTTAATTACATCCCTCAGTCACCAGAGGGATTGCAGCATGGTTTTCTCCTCCCCTGTTTTACCCCTATAGAGACCCTAGTTCTTTTGCTCCCAAATCTTGGCCTTCAATAAGCTTCCACAAAGAAGAAACTTAACCATTTACTCGATTCCTTGAGTGCTTATTATTTTTAGCTACAGCTGAGAAAGTGCAGGGCTGAGGATAAACCTTGGATACCTCCCTGTGTTTCCCCTTCACTGCTGACATAGTTGCAGGTGAAGACACCACTCATTGGAAAAACATCTCATTCCACGAAGAGGCCCCTCAAGCACCCCCTTCTTGCTCCTCAGCCCTTATGGGAGCACAAAGGGCCTCTAGGATCCCTGTCACCCCTCTTCCTAGAAAATCCTCCCCTCACCTGGGTAGCCTGCACTTCTCTAGGAGGCCTTCACTGACTCCACCCAGGCCAGGTTAATTTCCACTGTACGGAGATCTCAAAGTGCCTAGGCAGCAGGTGCAGTGGTGCCTACGTCACGCACCTGTTATTACCTATTTACGAGTCTCTCTTTCCCACTGGACCCACAGCCTAACACCTGACCCCACTTAGTCAATGCCCATGCTGTGCTTATGGACTCTAAGCAAGAACCTGCAATAGTGAGTGACTTGGATTACACTAGTAGATATCTAAGATTGATGCCTGCTCTAAGACCATAGATTCTCTATCCATCCTGGGGTTTGCCACCTTAACTTCCTCACACACATTGTAAGCAAGAAAAAACCCTTCTTTATCTTTAAAGTCTACCTTCAGAGATCATTAGTGTTGCGTTTATTATTGATTTTGCAGTATTTCATAGAGGACATCTTCTATGAATCAAACAATCCTAAAGACACATTAGAATGCTTCACATTCCCAGATGACATCGTAAGATAGGGCTTCATATTAAACATGCACATTTGAGTGTGTAAAGAATTCATTGCCATGAAGTTATCTATAGTTTCACTTTCATCACTTTAAATATGACCCAAGGGTGATTACAGCGAAACTACATCACAACTGAAATGCTGGGTCACTCGGCAATCTTGTTTTATTGTTGGACAAAGCGAAAGGCCTGTCAACCACAGCTAACCCAGAGGACAAAGGGGACTCTGAGTAAGGCTGACCATCTCATCCACAATTTCATGACTCAGCACTTAGAAACTGGAAGCTGTTCAGATATGGGGAGACCTTACTCCACTCCTATCTGCAGAGAGGCACATAAGCCATGTTTACTTATCTGGGTCAAAACGGTTTATTTACTAACAATGTGTCAGCACCCTACCCAGTGCCTTATACACATGATCTTATCTGAACCTCGCATCAACCCTATGGAGTGGGTACTACTATTATCCCCACTTGACAGATGGTCCTCAGAGAGTTAAATAACTTGCCCAAGGAAACTGGGGTTTGCATCCAGCTCAGCTTTGCTCCCAAGCCCACTCTCCCACACTGCCTTGCAGGCCTAACACCCAATTAAACCAGTGGATTAGAATTGCTTTCTGACTTTGCACCGTGTTTTAAAAAGTTTCTCACCCATGTAGCTCATGTATGAAAGTCAAGCAAGGCCTATGTGACATTTCTGTATTTTGAGATGTTAAAGAATAAATTCCCCATTAAGACTGCGATTCTTTAAAGGGGATGGGAGGAGGTGGGAGGGACAGGAAGGAGGGTCCCTACCACCTGGCAAGCATTGCAGCCCCTGAGATTCTGACACAATCCTGCCTTCCTGTCCTTGACTAAGCTGATTCTTTTGCCCTCAACGCTCTTTTCTCTTTTTTGGCCATCCTTGAAAGTCCATCTCAACTACGCCCTCCTCAGTGGAGTTTTCCTCAACCCTGTGGCCTCCTGCTCTGTCCTCCCAGAGGTCTTTCCCCTCATTAAATGCTCCAGCACCAAGCTCAATGACTTACAAGTGGCTGCATTTGGCACCTTCTCTGCCATTGGACCATAAGGGTGTTGAGGGAGGGATCACGACCAATGATGAGACACTGTTCCAAGATACGGAAGCCTGCAAAATCATTTCTCCTAATTCAGACCACCCTCGTATGTGTTACCGTACATCTCAGGAGTGAGCCTTCTACTGTGAGGGTGGTCTTAGAAAGGGCATGTTCCACCAAAAACTGGGGTTGGATATACTGGGTATTTAGTTTAAGGGATGGAGTTCTAAAGTCAGTGGATATTTCCAACTTGCCCAGGCCTACTTTCCATTCTTTTTCTTTGCCCAGATAATAATTGGGAGAGATCTCTAAATGTATGCATTATTTATTAATCTTTGGAGAGGACATAAGTAATAATCCGTATTCTCTGTCAGATTAGTCTAATTTTTGACAATATTGTCCTTCACCTTTTTCCTCTTTGAGTAGGAAAATTTACATAATTTGAGGATTCATGTCATCTCTTCATGTGGACACTGAGGAGGATATGTAAATGTCTACATCAGGTCATTGATGCTAAAATGCTGGAGCACATAGGTTCACACAGGGAATGTGCAAATAAGACAGCAGGACTGATACTGCTCTCCTCAGAAAGGCCTGCTTGCAAAGTTGGTCTTTGGCTGGTGTCTGGGAACCTGGATTTCAAAAGGGTTTCCATTACTCCCTAAGTGATAGGAGTGACTCACTATGCCCAAACTATTTGTACGAGCAAGATAGTTTATGCTGAACCCATGCTTTCCTCCTGGGAGTCTAAAATTTGGGTATGTGGCAGGCAGAGGATGCCTGTGTGACCATCCCCTAATAAAAAGCTTAGGCTCGGAGTCTCTAAAGAGCTTCTCTGGTAGACACACTTCACATGTGTTGTCACAACTCATTGCTAGATGAATTAAGTGCGTCCTATGTGACTCTACTGGGAGAGGACTTGGAACTTTGTGCCTGCTGTCCTCTGGCCTTTGCCCCACGTGCCTTTCTTTGCTGATTTTGCTCTGCATCCTTTCACTGTAATCAATCATAGCTGTGAGTACGACTATGTGCTGAGTCCTGCGAGTCCTCCTAGCAAATCATCAAACTTAGGAGAAGTCTTAGGGACCCATAACACAGGGAGTTTTAAAGTGCACATGGGTTATGGCCCAAGTCACAAGAAGCCATGGGCTTATGAAAAGAAGATATGCAGTAATAGGACCTCTAAGGAATGACATCTCTCAATAAGGGTAAGTAGGATGTGACTTGGGATGATGGAGTGCACTGGGGAAGACACTGTGCAAGTGTGGGAATTAAACCTGCACAATCCTTTGTCTACATTTACTTTTTTGTCCTCGGCTTGAGATATTATTTTGTCAACTTCCAGAATGACAACAGACATCATGAATTCACAAGAATTGTCTAAGATTCCTTGCAATTCAATCTCCTTAGTTTGGAGTTACCCCAGCATCCAGAGAAGCCACAACTTCTACATGGGGAGAGACAGCCCTGCTGTTGGCAGCATACGTCTAGCAAAAAACGCATTTTTAAAAAATGTAGATTAGGGGCCGGCCCCATGGTGTAGTGGTTAAGTTTGGTGTGCTCCGCTTCAGCAGCCCAGGTTCGCGGGTTCTGATCCCAGGCACAGACCTACACCACTCCTCGGCCATGCTGTGGCAGCGACCTATATACAAAATAGAGGAAGACTGGCACAGATGTTAGCTCAGGGCTAATGTTCCTCAAGCAAAAAAAGAGTAGGATTGGCAACAGATGGTAGCTCAGGGCGAAGCTTCCTCAGCAAAAAAAAAAAGTAGATTAAATGAAAGAAATGCTAAATAGACATCAGGTCCACATATATGCCAAATGCCTTCTCTTTTCCCTTCTCTTTATGATTTACTTGGTCTTCAAAATTAAGAAACATACTAGTCAATGGGAAAATGTGTTCTATATTAGAAATGAATTCATTTCATTTTAAAAGGATAGCAATGGATATTCAGGAACAGGGACCATGTCTGATCGTGGACACAAGTATTTCTTTTCGATTTATAAAGCACTTTCTTAACATCACCTCATTTGACCCTCATAACAACTCTATGAGGTAGATAATATGACTTTTATCTTCCATGGCGTCTGGTCTATTATAAGACAAGCAACGATGCTCAAAACTTACTGGTTGACTGATTAGTAATGGCCTTAGAAAAATTACTGCTTTACAAAAATTAAGAATTCCTGAAGTCTGCCAGTGGAAGAACAAGCTAAAAAGCAATCCAGGCATTCAGAGGAATTATTAAAATCACAAATTAAGTCATTTCTATGGACTCTATAGCAGGAAATATATTTTTAATGAGGAAATTGAAGCTAATATATAACAGCTGTCCTGTTACTGGTAACGGAGTATTAAGGCAGATTAAATTATTAATGAAAAATATAGCAACTTGGAAATTTAACCTTTAAACATTCTCTCATTCCTTTCTCTTTTATCTATAGTCTTTAAACCGATATTTAAAAAAAAAACATTTGGTCATCTGATCTAGTTTCCATTTATAATTTGTTTTGCTCCTCATCAGCTCTTGGATCTTCAAGTTATTTCCTATCAGACTTTTTCATGATGCCTGGAATAGCAGGGGGCCTCCAGGAAACTTACTGGATGATACCTACGCTAGTCAAACCTCCTAAAGCTCCCACTTCTTTGGCTCCACCACTGGTTGCCTTAAATTAGCCAACTGCACTTGACTCACAGACCCACGGGCAAAGAATAAATATTGTTGACATAAAGTCACTGTGTATTTGGGGGTTGTTGGATAGGCAGCAATGGTGACTGTCAGTAATGATTCAAGAAGTTATTCATCAGTTACTAAAATAATAACCTTATAAAAAAGAGAAGTATATGAGGAGACTACACGGAGAGAAAAGAGTGGGATGGAATATAAAAAGGTGCGCTAACATGGCCTAAAAAGCCACGCCCTCACTGTCTTCCACATGTTCACTGCCAATCAACAGAAAGGTAAGCGTAGCAGCTGATCCCAGGCCCAGTAAGAGGCAGTGAGTACTCACGTTGGTGTTGCACAGCTTGTACTGCCGATAGGCCCCAATGCAGGAGATTGCTGTAGACCGGGCAGGCTGGGAGAAGCTCTGAGCTGCCCTGTGTGCCCCCACGCCATGGCTGCTGCCTGTTTCCGGGCTATGGAACAGACTTGAAGCTGCAGGGAAGCCTTGGTCATGGGTCAAAGGCACCTGGTAGATAGAGGCCTCTGAGGCCTGCAGTCCAGAACGAGGGCCACTGTCACTCTGGTACAGAGACCCATGCTGGGGGGCCCGGTGGGCCGGTGGGCTGTAGCCATGGCTAGGACCAGATGCTCCCTGGGACCTGGAATGCTGAGATGAGGGCCTTTGCCTCCGAAGCCTCTGCGGCGAGTGGGCAGAGTCCGTCTGCAGTGGTAAGATGTACGGCGCCTTACCATAGCCATACTTGCCAGGGCCGATGGGACCTTGGGTCCTGCTCCTAAAGAGAGACACACAAGAGAGGAGATGAACAGTCATAGGATTTTTCATGTTAGCCCAGAAACTCTGATCCATGGTAGAGGGGACTGGGTAGGAACAGAAGCTTGGGAGAAAGCCTGTGGTGGAACAGGGAGGTGGAGGGGGGCATTCCAGGAGAGGGGAAGATCACGGAGGCTGGAACAGAGGCTGGAAAGCAGAATGTGGGTAGGAGTCAACACTGGGTGATGAGAGTAGTTGAAAATGAGGTTAGAATGATAAGCTGTGCTCAGTATGTGACTTATGTCAGAGGGTTGGGGCATTTTTGTAGGTTGTAAGGAGCCACTGAAGGTTTTTCGAGAAGTATAAAGATATAATTGTAATTTCAGCCACAGTAACTTCCCGTTCACTTTTTTCCTGATAATAATTTGCGGATTTTTTCTTACTCAACTGTGCCTGATATTTCAGACCGTTTCCATTACCACTCATGCCCAAATAGCTTTTCCAGGGAAGTGGAACTTAACTAAACAACCACACTCTTATGCAGTCCTGAGGCCTGACTTGCACTGGGTCAAACTTAATCTCTGAAGAAATGACAAAGAGATTGCGCAACTGGCTACTCCATCACTCTCGAGGCAACCCATGCTGAGCAATGGGTGAACGGTCATCTTCACATTGGTAAGGATCTTTAGATTTTGTCAAGACCTGTTGCCTTGTAAGACCTTAGGAAAATCACGTAAACAGTGGTATGGTGGTAAATGTTTAATAACTGGCTTCCAAGGGGAAAGAAAAGCCCTGATTTGTAGCATTTGCCCGTGGCGTAAATACTCCCACCATGGCCAATGTCAAGCTACCAATGTGAAAACACAATCAGCTCTAGGGAGCAGGGAAAACAGCTCCAGAACACCACTGCATGTAAATTTATTATGCAACTACTGTTTGCAAAATACAGAGCTAGGAATGGTGAAGAAACATAAAAGTGAATCAGATAGAGGTCCCAAGACCCCAACCTTACAACTGAAAGCAACTAGAACATTACACAGGTTGGGGAAAGGCCTTGGAAGCAATACAACAAATGGTGCTTTGGGAACTCGGAGGCAGGAGGAAGCACTTCTGTCTGGAGGGACCTAAGAAGGCTTCACCATCCCTAGTCTGAGAGTTGGGACACAAGGTTCCAATACTCTGTGGAAGGATTTAAGTAAGTCACCTAACTCTTACTTTTTTGTAAAATGACCAAACTGGATTAAATAACTGCGAAGGTAGTTCCAGCTCTAAAATTATATGCTTTCATAATAATTAATTCTACGTTTACATAAAACTGGAAATGTGCCCAAGGGTTTCTACAGGATGGCTCCATTAAAATAAGCACATTAAAATAGCAATCAAGGTGAAACATTAATTTCTGCCCTTATGAGGAAATTCTCTCTTCACTCTACATAACGACTGAATATAAAATTTAACAGACCACAACTAATTATTAACATCTTTATCACTAATTGCACCTTCATTCTTAGCTGATATGGTTTTGAATTCAACTGTGCTACAGTGTTTATTTTGCCTTTAGCCATTTCTCAATTAATCTTGGCAACACTTGGGACCCTGTTAATGATGGGGGATCTAGCACGCTGCTTTAAGAGATGCAATTAAGAAGTTAGTCTTAAAAATATACATAACTTGGATGTAATTTGCCTTTTTCTTTCTTGTGGTAGGCCAGGTAAAATGAATGACATCATGCAAAGACGAAGGAAAGAATTTCTGTGCTGTGTGTGTCTTTTTGGTTAAGACCTGAAAGTCTACCAAAAATTTTAGCCTCAAAGTACGGGGTGGAGACCCCAGCTGAGGGTATTACAGAGATGAAGACACATGGAGCAGTGCTTCTCAAACTTGAATGTGCACAAGAATCACCTAGGGATCTTGTTAAGAGGCAGATCTGATTCAGGAGGTCCAGGGTGGGGCCTGAGATTCTGCATTTCCAACAAGCTTCCAGGTGATGCTCGTGCTGCTGGTCCACAGACCCATCGCTTTGGAACAAAGTCATAGAACAGAATTGAAATTCCAAACAAAAGGGTGAGAATTCAACAACAAAATTTACCACTTTCAGTGGAGACAGATAGCTATAACATTTTTTTTAAAAACCTCTGAGTTTGTGACATATACAAAAATCTGCTGGCCTGGGCCCGGCTGCACTGCCGCAGCTCATCCAGTGAGAGCCGCCGGACCAGGACTGACTTGCTCTCACTCCTGCAGAGCAGAGGAAGCTGAGGGAGAACCCACCGTTGGCTGATGACTTGTGTAAGCGTCTTTCCACAGGCTGCCCATCATCGCTGAGGGGGTAACATACACACCTGCAAATGTATATTTTTGTATTCACATTGCCTTATGGGAGGCTCTGCCTAAACTGGAGAACCATTCATAATTTTATTTATTTATTTATTTTTCCCCCAAAGCCCCAGTAGATAGTTGTATGTCATAGCTGCACATCCTTCTAGTTGCTGTATGTGGGACGCAGCCTCAGCATGGCCGGAGAAGCGGTGCGTCGGTGTGCGCCCAGGATCCGAACCCGGGCCGCCAGCAGCGGAGTGCGCACACTTAACCACTAAGCCATGGGGCTGGCCCTGGAGAACCATTCAAAACCCACACAAACAGCAACACCATTGGAAAGATAATGATTTGAAAACAAATGACTAGCTAATTCTGATAAACAGACTCAAGAGAATGAGAGGCCAATTAGGGTGTGATTATGAGAGAGATGATTTCTGTATACTTGACTCAGAACACTTGGACAAGCAAAAGATGCATCCCCACTTGGCCAAGAGAACGTGTGTTTTCCTTACGGCAGTCAGAGCTAATCATTCTGACGGTTCAGAAGGGCCTCTTCCCACCAGGACAGAGTCCATCTGGCCACTTGCAGGGGGGCCTCCATGAACTGGGCAGATTTATGCAGAGTTGAGATAATAAGCACAGATGTGGCCGAGGGAATCTGTGGGGCCAGTTAACCCTTCCAGGGGAGCATGCGGTAGGTGCCTGGGGGGCTGTGAGGTCAATTAGTTCTGCTTGGTCTCCCCATAACCTATCTCTGGGATTTTACTCCAATTCCACACTTGTCAAAGCTCTGGCTAATTTTGGAAGGTTGGACCTCGAGAAAGAAATGAAAAAAGCCCAGTTTGGGATCAAGGACATGGGTGTTAGCATAGCATGGTGGTTAATGACTTGGACTCTGAAGCCAGGTTTCCTGGGTTTGAATCCCAGCTCTGCCACTTACTAATCATGAAACTTTGGATAAGTTACCCAATCTTTTGATGCCTCAGTTTCTTCAAACAGGGCCAGGACAGGAATGAGGCCAGTGACGCACACAGGGAGCAACATTTAAGCAGACACTCTCAGGGTCGTGCAAGTGCTGATCAAACCTGACAGTGATGTCTCCTTAAATGCTGTACCCTAGGCCCAGTCATGACCCGGTATGCATTTATAATAAATATGATAACAGTACCTTACTTATTGGTTGTTGTAAAGAGTAAATGACTTAGTAAGAGCAAAGGACTTACACACTGCCTAGGATAGAGCATGCATCATACAAGCATTTGCTTAAAAAAAAAAAAAGGTCTAGCTTGGCCATTGACTAGCTCTACAAACTTTGGCAAATAAGACACCCTATAAAATGAGAGTACACCCACTAGGATGGCTATAATAAAAAGGATTGATAATAACAAGCGTTGGAGAGGAGGTAGAGAAACTGAAACCCTCAGACATTCCTGGTGGAAATGTAAAATGGTGCAATCACTTTGGAAAACTATCTGGAAGTTCCTCAAAAAGTTAAATGTGGCGTTATTATATGACCCAGCAATTCCAATCTTAAGTATATACCCAACAGAAATGAAAACATATATCTACACAAAAACTTGTACATGAATGTTCATAACAGCTTTATTCATAATGGGTAAGAGATGGAAACAACCTACATGCCTGTCAACAGGTGACCGGATAAACAAAACATAGTATAGCCACAGAACGGATTATTATTCAGCCATAAAAAGGATAAAGTACTGATACACACTACAACATTGATGAACCTCAAAAACATTTTAAGTGAAAGAAACCGGACACAAAAGTCCACACATTGGATGATTCCATCATTACGAAATGTCCAGAACAGGTAAATTCATACAGACAAAAAGTAGGTGAGCGGTTATCAGGGGCTTAGGGGAGGGCAAAATAGGGAGTGACTGCTAAAGGGGACAGTGTTTCTTTTTTGGGGTGATGGAAATATTCTGTAATTAGATGGGGTGATGGTTACGCAACCTTCTGAATATACTAAAAACCACTGAATTATACACTTTAAATGCTGAATTTTTATTTTAATATTTATTTAATCATTTTAATTATGTCTCAATAAAGCTGTTATTTTTTTAAAACGCGAGCATAAATAATTCCCGTTTTATCTGCTTACAATGATGTAAAGATCAAATTGAGGTTACCGATAGAAATACATTTTTTTCGTCTGAAAGCAGTCTTTATCATTTGTTTTCCGTCACTTGTTTAAACAACCTTTATTGAGCAACTTCTGTGAATGTCTATTGAGCATCATGTGAAATGTTTTTCCTGCTTGTTCACATTTCCAGCCCTGACAACATAAGTAAATGCAGAGCCTCCCTCCCCCACAGTATGGCCCAATGACAAGAACTTGACAGTAAGGGTTCTGACACCAGGTTCAAGTCCCAGTTCTTCCAATGACTTACTACGGGTGTCTGGGGAAATTGTTGTTTCTTGAGATAATGGCTGCAAATAGCATTTTGGAAAGGGTAAGAAGCACATAAAATATTTTCCTTACAACACGTTGGCTGTCATCCAGAGGCTCGTTATGTGTGATGTTGTGCAGCTTTGCGAGGTTAATCCTGACCAGTCAGCGTGAAGATTCAAACAAAGACACCACATCCAGTCTCCCTTTCCCCAACTCATACAGGTACCCTAGAAATACGTCATGTACAACCATCATCTGTAACTGACAACGCCCACATTTCTATTGCA